GATGTCTTCGTGTACGAACAATTTGCATTCGATCATAGCTTTCGTTACAATTTACAATATCCTACTGAATTAAAGGTACCTAATTATATAGACGTAGCTCGAGTAATCACCTGTTCAGAAGCACTGAAACTCATTATAGGTATTACCTAACAATTTGTGTATCCATTACACTGAATTTTGTTTGCCGACTATATAAATGTTATACTATAATATTGAAAATTTTACATATTTATGGACCGCTGATTGGTATTATATGCATGTTTGCTAACTGAAATTCAAATTCATTATACATATTCTAAAGAAAAATAAGTTTAATTACCTGCTACGCTGGTGAATTATCCGCATGTTGGCGTTTGAAGAAGCACGACGTGATTAATGCTAAACAAATGTGGCTCTTATCATTTCATCAATTAAAATTCTACACGAAAAACTAGGCCTGGAAGAGCGGCGGCGATGCAGCAACGGACTCGCGCGTGCCCATGCATAGGCTCGCTAATTAACTTCCTGTACATACAGTTGTGTGGAGTTGACATTCACTAAGAACCTTTCAGCTGTTGCTCGCTCCAGAACTACTTATGACGAACAATATATTGCAATATCATTTAAATTCCTTACTGAGTATACTCAGCATCTAATAAGTATTGGTTACGTAATGTTTTTTAATATTAAGAAGAATAACTTCATGTGAATTATTTACCAATTAAATGCTAAATACAGGAAGTATGCGATCGCAATGTTTCGTCCGCGATTAAATCTGGAAAATTTAATTACGCTTTCCTTCACATTCAATCGTTTGAATTGATTACGAACCACGCAAACCCATACACTTCTTAAAGGTTAGGTTAAGTTCTGGCTAGACAGACTGACGGATGCAGCTAAGAAAAGCTTAAATTTTCCGTGCAAAACAGTTGATCGATTTCGGCTCACTTCCGCGCATGCGTAGTAGGTATCGAGAATGGACGAGTGTAACGGTAACGGAGCTGCCTGATCTTTAACGGCCCGAAGATTAGCTTGTGTCTGGCAGGATGTGAAATCGTTCAAATGGATATTTAGATTCTCGTTGATATTGAATTGAGGATTAGCTGTTAGAATTATTATAATTTGGCCTCAGCGTTCTTCCCGGAAGTAGCCATTGTTTAGAGGTATGAGAAGGTTCATACCTATCGAGAAGGTATGAATTATCATTTGTTAGTACATCATTTGATAACGTCGAAAAACGAAATGCGTCCTATTTATTTGATGCTTATGTAACATAACATAGCATAATGATGTCGGCGCAGAAGAGTAGGCCTGATGTGGCCTGTCGCCGATTTTTGTACTTTTCGCGGTCTAAAAACAGGTCCTTCGACCGGATCTTTTCCAAACTGACGATAGTTCGGAATGGCTACTAGACTTCCACCAGGTTTGATATGGTGCTAGGCATTTTAAGTCTGTACATGTATTTTTCAATAGCTTTATCTAGTTGTTCTTGAACGCGTTCATACTTGGAGAGCCAACGATGGAATCGGGGAGGCTGTTCCACATGTCGGTGATTCGAAGCGAGAAGTGCTGTCGAGAGGATGAGTTGCAACGCAGTTTTTTTTAGCTTATAGCCGTGGCCCCTGGTGTTGGTTGTTGGTTATTGTTTCAATTGCTAGTAAACCTTCGAGGACCTTGTATAAACCATGAGTATACTTGTATACTTCCATTACTAATTTGTGCGCAATGTGTGTCGCACAATTGCTCTTGGGAAGTAATAGAATAGAATAGAAGTGTCGGCGTTGAAGACATAGGGCCCATGGCCTGTTGCCGATTCTTGAACTTTTCGTGACTTGATTCACAAGGGATCCGGCCTTTGGAACCCGATCTTTCCATAACTGACGATTGATTGAGATAGCTGCTGGACTTATTGCCTGCTCCGTAATTTGCTAGGCATTTTAAGACTGAACATATGCTCCTGCATAGCTTCGTCTAGTCTGTTTTTGAAGATGTTCATACTCGGAGCTTCAACGATGCTTTCGGGGAGGCTGTTCCACATGTCGGTGACTCGAAGCGAGAAGAAATGTTGTCGCATGGATGTGTTCCAACGCTGTTTCTTTAGTTTATAGCCGTGGCCCCTGGTGTTGGTTCTTGTTTCAAATTCTAGTAATCCTTCTGGGACCTTGTATAAGCCATGAGTATATTTGTATACTTCAATGAGGTCCCCACGCAGACGTCGATAATGGAGGCTTGGAAGCTTCATAATCTTTAATCTTTCCTCATAGGACTTGCCTTTCAAGCCCGGAACTATCCTTGTTGCGCGTCTTTGAACACTCTCTACTAAATTTTTGTCCTTTTCAAATTTCGGTGACCACACGATGTTTCCAAACTCCAGGTTCGGGCGTACGACAGCAACAAACAACTGCTTCATCGTTTCTAAATCTAGGAACTCGAAAGAGCGTCTGATCAGTCCAAGTCGTTGATTGGCTTTATTAACTTGACCTTCAATATGCTTAGAAAATTTCAACTCATTGTCGATATTAACTCCTAAATCCTTTTCCGTTGTCCGACTTCGACATCGTCACTCTGTCGTTGCAACCGTGTCTTCTCATATTGTAATCTTGTAAATATCGACCTTCTCTTGCATTATAACATTTAGTAACACTATTTTATCTGGTGAAAATTTCCATCATCTGCCCAAGCTTAGTTTCTTGTGAAAGGGTACGAAAATACGCTAAATATTTTCTCATTTCTCTCTTGTCATAAAATGTGCAGACTAAATGATCGAAGATTAGCAAGCAGCGAAAGTTAATTAGATAGCAAAGATTATTTTGAACGCCTTGCACGGGAAACTCGGGTTGATGCTCGCACCTCGTCCGTCAGATTTCCAGACATTTAATCCAAGCTGGACACCGATAAAGAACACGGTTTTCTGAATTGCAGAACATATTAATAATTGTGGCTGATATGGTGAATGCCTTCGTGTGATGACGCCCTGCGTGCTTCTAATTTTTTTATAGATATTCATTCGGATTTTGAACTATATTTTTCGTTTTTACAGATCATATTTTCAAGAAATAATCTGCCTTTAACGTCACGAGCAAAAACTTTGAAAAACCCGGCAATATCCATTAGGTTGTTGCCAATTTTATCTAAGCTGTAAAATGAAACCTCTATAGTGCTTGCCCCGACGATACCAGCTCTAAATGTGGAGCGTTACAGCAGCTTGGTTTAGCTAATGTGCGTCTTTGAAATTGTTCTAAATCGAGCCGACATCGCGTGTTCCGAAAGCTTTTCTGGCATTTCTGAAGATGTAAGGTGGCATTAGCGTTGGAGCGACTAGCTTGTTGTTCTAGAGCTGAACTAAGCTTTGCATTCTATACATATTTCTCGATGAGATGGTAAATGAAGCTTAAGTTACTGAATTTGTCCTTGGAAAAGTACTTCTTACGTGCCTGGCTTTTGTAAATTTTGTTACGTGAAATTTTACACAATTTGACAATTTTTTGTTACGTGACAATTTTGTTACAAAGACAATAAAAATTTTCGTTATTGTACAATTTATACCTATCTATTTAACACAACTCGGATGATTGTAGATAACCTTTCCATAAATCAAAATATGTTTCGAAATAGGCAGAAGATGATTAGTGTGAAATATAGAAAACTATTTGGAACGATTTATTTATGTTAATCCCCTATAGCGACTTCGAGCAACATCTGCTTTTTAAAGCCTGATCAAGTTCTCATTGCACCAACTCAAACACGAGTTGTTCTAACACCTGCATGATGCTCTATTTTTTTAATAAATTGCACCATATAATCTCCGTTGGAGTACTGCTGCTCGAATTTGCACAAACATCTTTCAGTTTTATTTAACTTACTAGATATGCTTGATTAAGTAAACTTAATTTGTAAATGCCATCATTATTTACGGCACAACTTCCAAAGATGGTCATCAAATTACGTTGGTGTATTATGCAGACTTAGATGGCATGTATAATTTTGTGAAAGCTCGACCTTCCAAAATTTAAGTCTTCCTCGCGAGAAGTTTGAGATTGATCTCTTGTTTACTGCTCCCTTGAATAACTTAAGGCTAAATTCTCCTAGCTGTCTAATGTTATTAATTATTATTGAGTAAACAGCATATAGAACGACCACACAACTTATTCGAAACGCAGTAAAACCAAACAGCGCACACTTTACGTACTGATCCAATGCAACACATAACATAACATAGTGATGTCGGCGCTGAAGCGTAGGCCTGATGTGACCTGTCGCCGATTCTTTTCCTTTTCGTGCCTTGTTCACATTTCGTGCCTTGTTCAAACATAGAAACACAAAGTTACTTTCCGCCTGATTCATTCCTTGTCATGTCGTGTCTCCAGTCACATATTTCAGCCATGATTGTCAATAGAACGGAGAGTCGCGCTTGTTCGTGCTTGGCAGCAGCACACGTCAAGTTCTCTATTGACACGACAAGCCCGCGGCCGAGAATGTGCTCAGCAACGCGCGCGTTGCAATTGTTGGGGCAAGCCAAGTCTGACTGACTTCAAGCCCTAAGAAAAATATTGCAATGCTCAATGTGGCCGGTGATATCTTACGTTTCTTTCTGCTGTTTAGTTTTTGGGTATCAACTTAAGCCTCTGTTTTTTTATTATTTTTTTATTGAGATGTATTTAAGTCTAAACCTCGCTCAGGTTTTTAACTAACCAAATTTTTTACCGATAAGTTCTGAAGTCAGAATAGCGGTTTATGTTCGCCGCTGCCAAGTTATTGATTGATTTAAAGAATCAAAATGCTAAGCTTGATAAATTCGTAAGTTTTGCATTTCATTTTCGATTTAGCTGCTGAACGACACACCATCTATTTTTTAAAAATCAATCGGATCGGATGCATACTTCTTGAAATTTTTTCCTGTTAATAAGCTTTTTAAACCAATAGCTATAGATTTATTCACGGCTTAAATATAAGAATTCTTCGCGGTTCATCTTTTTTTTAATTATTTTACTTGATACTAAAAAATCTTTCGCTCGCTACAGATTTCTGTTGATGGAACTGAAAGCGCAACGAAGTTTCTACTTCATGCATCTGGTATGTGCACCTACAACGTTGTTCATAGTGGTGATTTTTATTCGCATTGCAAAATGTCTTATATTGTACATGAAAAAATAGTACTAATATTCGGAAATACATTCGAGCCATTTATTTTAGAAATTTTAGTTTTTATTATCGAATCTAATGTATTTTAGCTGCACGACCGCCCAAGGCTACGAGCTTCAGAGGAATCAACGGGAAAGAGAGAATCATCAAAAATGTTAAGCAGCGGCCATTCCATGACACCCTACGCACCACAGCCAATCTTCTGCCTGATTTTAGTTTATCTAAACATGAGCCCAGGCCTAATTTCTCCATTAATAAATTAATCACTCCTGGGTCACAGCTCAATGAGGTAGATCTCACATGGAAGCCTGGAAAAAGTAAGGCTAAGACTGGCGATGAAATTGTAAATAAGTTCTCTAAGAAACAATTTAATATCTTTCACTTGCCTAAAGTTAACAACTCAGGGTCCCTCAAAAATGTTCTCGAAGTTCATACCAACGAGTCATCTTCACATATGACACAAATTTATTTAGCAAAGGAATTTAAGAACCGTTTACATATATTGGAAAAGGGTCAAGGGCAAACGAGGCTCCATTTGTACAGCCCTACAAATAATATCCCTTTTTCGAAAATTGCTATGTACAGTCCGAAGAAGTTAAAAAAAACCTTCAAGGCATATAATAATTATGAAACAGAATTGCAGCATCGCAAGAAAAGATCCGTGATTGTTTCCGAGGAAAATTCACGACACGATCTTCACTCTTCTCAATCAAGACGGGAGAAAAGAAGAAAACAAAACTCATCATTGCCATCCAAAACGCAGACTCCAAATAAGCTTAAGAAATTGAAGAGTAATATTCATAACAGAAGGAATCACAGGAAACGCGTTTCCCGGACAAACGACAGCAAGAAAGAAACATCGAGCAGAAGCAGCAGCAGCGAGCAGATCTTCTCTGAGTGGTCGCCGTGGACGCGTTGTAATAGACGCTGCAAGCAGAAGCGGCGGCGACGGTGTAAGAAGAAGGATTTGTGTGGTACAGCTCGCATCAAGGTAGAGTATCATTGTATGGTGCGCTGCACAGCCCGCATCCAGGTAGAGTATCATTGTATGGTGTGCTGCACAGCCCGCATCAAGGTAGAGTATCATTGTATGGTGTGTGGCACAGCCCGCATCAAGGTAGAGTATCATTGTATGGTGTGCTGCACAGCCCGCATCAAGGTAGAGTATCATTCTATGGTGCGCTGCATTGCCCGCATCAAGGTAGAGTATCATTCTATGAACTACGATTTAATTGAACGTTTACTGAGTTTATCCTGAGACAGTTTATTCACTTTAAAGTTTTATGTTGAAGCGGTGGGAATATTTATGAGTCAAGGGTCGGCTTGACGATGCTTATCTCAGCTTTATTCTGCCCGCATAAACACTGAACAATTTCCCGGCAACTGCGACGATCGAGCGTCTCGGTTTCAAATATGGCCAAATGGCCGACCAAAAATAATTCGTTTTGATTTTCACGACTGTGCACTTCTTTTTCTGTATCGTGTTTATTTCGTGACTTTTGTAGTTTTTGCGGATCCAAGTAGTTATTTCACTATAAATTCAAAATTATGTCGTGCTTGTTGACTGTTTATTTCTTGGAATTTGCGCTCCTTCTTAGGTTTTTTCTGCTCCACGTGAATAATTATGCTAGAGATGAAAGTTGCGCCCAACCTGTCCACTGTAAGCTGAATACTATACCATCGTTGTTTCTAAAATGAAAAAAAGACACGTTTTTAGGATCTTGGTAGCTTATTTTCTCAAAATTAGATTTAATTCGGAGCATCTCTGCAGTCCCATATTAACTTAAGTCGTGTACCATAAATTTCATTGTATTCCAGGAAGAGAGGTCATGTTTCGGGTGGCGGTGTAAGAAAAAACCCAATAAGGACTCAGCAGAAGAGGCAAAGCTGATAGCATCTACGCCGCGAGGAGAATCTCATCGAAATGACCGCATTTCAAAAATAAATCGACCAAAGCCATACGAGTCTAAAGAAACTACCGCCAACCATCTTGTATCCGAAACGGTCGGAAAATTAATCTCAGATGACGATAACAACGTGCAATATGTCAAGAGGGAACAGAAAATTGTTGCTCCCGACCGACATAACCATCAACACAACCGCCTACATACGCATCGCCAATATGCCAATCAGAACAATCGACAGCCCTCAATAATGCACGATAATTTAACAGAATTGGATAACAAAATGAATACTTTGGAAACAGATTCTCCTGCTAGAAATGACCACCAGAGACCAGCGAGACGAAGAGCGTTTAAGGTGGTACAAGGGCGCAAATCGTCTCACCGAGACTTGCGCCTGCTGGTGAATTTCAACGCAGTTTTCTACTCGAGGTGGTCGGATTGGGGCCATTGTTCAGAAACTTGCGTCACGTCGCGTTATAGGTAAATTGTAAAGTAATAACATAGAATTATATACGAGTATTAGTTATTTTTTATTATTTTCTTTGCACGTAAAACACATGAATCTTTATTTTATATCACACCCAGTAGATTTTGTTGAGACGTTTTACGTTTACTGCATCTCAGTGTAGGGTCGAAAAATTTGCTGTTTTGGTTATCCCCTACTTTACATAACAAACTCGTGATAGAACTGTGAATAAATTAATTTTTCTTCAATTTCCCTTCCTTAGACATTCCAATTTTTTATAATTTTTATCCTTGGCCTTCAGATGGTGCAAGTACCGTTTGTTTTGCGGCGGAGCGATCGTTCGAGAAGAAGCCTTTTGCTACACACCAGGCGACGCTTGCGAGACTAAGTACAAGGAGGAAAATGGCGACGTTACGACACAAGAATATCTTGCGAACTCCATCGAAGAAAAAACTTCAGTAGAACTAGCGAAAGACCGCCAGGATATTTTGGATCCTTTTGATTTCTTATCAGGCGAACGCGATGACATTTCAAGACTAGATAACAGAACACCTGACATGATGGAGGATAGGAATAGTTATCTGGGGACTAACTACAATGATCCCTTTGCATCAAGATGGTCTCAATCAAGCTTGCTCTGGAACGAGCTTGGTCATGGTCACAAAGGCTTTAAATGGTCCCAACATAGAGGACATGACACTCAAACTTCAGATGAGGCTCGGAACAGTTACAACATCGTTTCGGCTGAAAATCCTTTTGGTTATTCCAGAAGATTTGGAAATGTTTGGGATCCAATCCGATTCGATGGATCTGGGGATATTAAGGACCACAGTAGAGATCCTCGGTACCATCGGGCAGAACACATCAATGTACCTACTGATGGAAGGAATTACGGTGGCGAGCAGGCCAGCCATCATCGTCCCTTCCACCAAAGATATTCAAGTCATCGAGACTTCAATGCCCCATTGAGCTCTGGTACAGGTAAGCTCTATCCCAACGGGGCAGGGTGGTACAGTGGTTATTGTTCATAATACCAAGACTGGATGGAACAGTGAGTCATTGGTTCGATCCCAGCTACCTGCTACAGTTCTGGTCAAAACGGCAAGAAGGCCGAGCTCTTAAGCACAACGAAATTGGAGCAGTTAGTTGCGTGTTTGAGACCGCAACGAGCTGGGAATATTCTGCGATGTTGAGAATCGGCAACAGGTCTAATGCAGAAACCGCTATATTGTACTGACCTGGACTGTTTTATATTGTACTGTCCTGTACTATACTATACTACTATACGATACTATACTATGCTATACGAATGAGTCCAATAAGCTCTGTTACCCCGAAGTCTATGGTAAGGTTTAATACTCATACATATATCCTTCACGTTGGCCCGTCTTTGTTGGAAGTATCTATCATCCCTTGAAATATTTTGTACCCCCTGGATATATATGTATCAGTTTTTAATTAATATACTTCATGTTTTTACTTTCAGGTATAACTTTTTACTATTAGTTATAGTACTGATTACCTTGCCGAGGAAATTGAATGCTTGTCGAAATCATAATTATCTAGCATGCTAGTCCCTCGCACAAGCTGCTTCGAGTTGCTGTTTGTTTCCCTCCAGATTTAGAAGATGACGAATTCAAGGCAAACTTATTTGGCACCAAAGTATCAGCATCTACTTTTGCAACTTCGTCGTCTCAGCAATCAGCTCAATCGTCGTCAGTCGCATCAGTGCCTTCGTTTGGACTCTTATCTGCGACTTCATCTTCCTCATCTGGCCAGTCTTTGCCAGCTCGAGCATCCGCCGTTTCCGGCATCATACCCCCAGTGTCTCCCACAAGAAACTCTTCGCTCCCCTTAACCCACTTTACGAGTTCAGTTTTTCCTTCAATGGATGCTTTAGCAAAACATCCTAATAGCAGTTCCGGAAACTCTTTCCCTCATTTTTCTGACTCAACATCACTTCACGGAGCTATTCAGACTTCTCCAGAATCTCCTTTTGATGATATCTTACCTGAACCTCACCAGTCAAAAATCGTGCGAGAGGACGAGAAAAATTCAGAGAGATTACTTGACGAAGAAGAAATGACATCTATGGAACTCTTCGGAACTGATGAAGCCATCAAACGCGGCAGCTCCGAAAGCCAATCAAACGGCGTTCTTTTTGATCTGGTGCCTCTAGACTCAACGCCTCCAACCTCATCCCTTGCCTCCCACTTATCTTCCTTCTTCTTGTCCCACCCAGATTCAGTTGACATGAAACCATCACACTATCATAACAACCATTCATCAAGAAACCATCTCACTATCATAACAACCATTCATCATGAAACCATCACACTATCATAGCTACCATTCATCATGCAACCAGCACTCGTAGCACAGCGGTGGTTCTCTAACCATTTCAGCGTGATCATTTTCAAAGGGTTTTCTCGTGCATGCGTTATCGTCTCAGTTGTCTTCCAAACATCCACCCCATTCAAGACCACAGCCGCTGCAACAAAAGACTAAATGTTGCCTTCAGTTCAGCCCAAGAACACTAATGTGCGCTAACAGCTTCTACCTTCTCTGTAATTTACGGACCGCCAATGTAAACGAATTGTTAGCAGAAACCAAACTACCTCTAAACCTTTTAAACCTTTCCGGCTTTCTTCACCCTCCCCAACCCCCTCCTCCTCTTCCCTCCACTCCCCCAATTTGAACGCAGTTTGTGGGGTCAGCACTAAAGGCCTTTGGACCGAGGGTCGTGCGCACAACACCTCCAGAGGGATGGAGGACGCTCCAAAAAATCTAGGCCTAAATTTAAAAATTCTAGGAGGCCGGGAGGCCGAGAGAGGACAGTGGCCATGGCAAGTAGTCATCCTCAACAGGCACAAAGTGAGTTAAAACCGTGCTGTGGTTTTGGAATAATTTTTAAATGATTTTTATCGTGAAATATCTTGTCCCCAATATTCTCTATTTAAAAGAGTTGTAAAAAGAGTTGGAAAGAGTTGTATGCACTGCAATATCAAAAGGTCATGCAGAGGTAGTCTGTTGATAGAATTATTCTTTGATTATTCGAAATAACACTTCATTATCTGTAGATTGTTTTTGTCACTCAATTTTAATGCATTCATTTCAAAGATCAAAGGTGCTCGCTTCATTACTTGCGTTTGATCATCCGCACGTCTGCTGATATCTTGCTCGTTAAGTCAACCGACTCGCCAATATCGTACGCATGCCTATACATGATTAAAGCGTTAAAGTTTATAAATTAAGTATGGCAGTGTTCAAGTTAAATAATACAGTATGGTAGAGTTCAAATTGAAAAATAATGTATGGTAGTATTCAAGTTGAGAAATAAGGTAGGTATAGTGCGCCCATGTTTAAAAATACACAATTTCGCCGCACCATTGAATCAGCAGATCGTTTGCAAGGAGGTATCTCAAACTTAACATTTTAGGCTTTCTTTGTTCAACTACAATGAAAACCTAAAATGTTAAACCCAACAAACCTAAGATATTTATTTGCATATGGGCGTTTTTTGGGGTTTTGAACTTGCAAATTGTGGCTAACGAAGTTAACATACAAAGTCACCAAGTTCAAAATATTTGATAATATTTAAAATTTACTCTAAGTTAACACAAATTTATTTCTCCATAGTGCCAGTCTCGGTAGGTAAAACAGCCCTTTGCATGATTAGGCGTAATTTGTATTACAATTTAGAAGAGGACTAAACGACCAACTTGACGATCGTCGATCTAAAACTCACTAAATTTCGTCCCTGATTGCTAATGACTTCTATAATTTTGCCCCAGCTGATCTGTATTGAATAGCACGAGAATAACACGCACGTATTTTCGCATCGAAAGAATAACACGAATGAAGATTTATTAATTTAAAAATTTCAACGTGCAAGGAGTTATCGTATGGGATATTCGTGGATACTTGTAGTCTCTTTAGTAGTTGCTGGCTCTACGCAAGACGCACGCGTCGTCGTCCCTCTTATCAGATTTGGCGCCAACCGCCGAGTGGCGTACTTAGCTGCATGAGAGCAAAATTAGCTTCTTCGTTTCTCTTGTATATAATTAGCGTCTTCGTTTCTAATTAGCTTCTTCGTTTCTCTTGTATATAATTAGCGTCTTCGTTTCTAGCGTCTTCGTTCTTCCTAACATTCTCTTGTCATGGTCGCTGCTGCGATCAGTAGGAAAACTTGCACGTGAACGCAACATATCGACCCACGCGTTGCTATGGCGACCAGATAGCCAGCGAAGCATCCTAATAAAGCTGACTTAATTAGGAGCAAAATGCGTCGATATTTCACGTGTCTTTAGAGAACATATTATGCGCAACTCGCTGTGAAGAATTATTGAGTCGGACTGAGTTTGTATTACCATACAAAGATAGAGCTAAATAATTACAGGGAATAGGAAATAATGTCAGCGTAGTTGGCATGAAGCAAATATATTAAGAGTTTCAATACAAACATGGGAATGCTGATGAAGACGGTGTTATCTTACATAGAATAAACACAAACATAATGGTAATTAAAAATTATATGATTTATTAACAATCCTCGCAAATAATAATAAACAATCTGTAATTTCCGAACCTTGAACTATTCAGTAAAAATTATTTGCAAGAAATCAAAAACTAGTTTTTGCCTCATATTCCTGCCACGCAATCCAAGATGATCACAATAACATATCAGAGCATCAAGATATGATCACAATAACATATCAGAGCATCAAGATCTTATACACATCTAGATGTGTATAAGAGACAGGTCTTCATGAGCTCAAGCGCTGCTCAGTCTTCATGAGCTCAAGCGCTGCTCAGTCTTCATGAGCTCAAGCGCTGCTCAGTCTTCATGAGCTCAAACGTTGCTCAGTCTTCATGAGCTCAAGCGCTGCTCAGTCTTCATGCGCTCAAACGCTGCTGGGCGTGTGATAACAATAACATTGCGCTGTACATAAGACGACGACGTGTAAATGATAACTCCACGGTGCATATGACACTACAATGTAAGAATGATAACTTTATGGCGTGTATGAGAAGATATGTGAATGATAAATTCACTGTATATATGAGACGAAGATGAGCGCATGTTTTTTTCATGATGTATACGAGACGACGATGCGCTTCGTTGGTTAACCGCCGTGTATTTATGACGCTTTTTGATCCTCACGATTGCCATCGTATTCATCGCAAGCATTTTATATCTTCATATGAAACTTGGTCAATGTAACAATGTGACTTGGTCATCAAACGAATAAATAAACAACTTCGAATCGAAGGAGATTGAGTTAATTTATATGAATATAAATTCTTGAGGATATTACGACTTACGAGAGACTTACACTTACCTTCAATACTCATGCCACCAACATTATACGACAGTATGAATAATATACCAGTCAAATTTGTTGCTCGTAGAAAATAACATTGCGTAAGACTTTTCTATCGTATATCATGCAATTGTCGGTAGCTTTCACAATATTTTTGTTTGCTTAATTGGACAATACTATTGGGTGACGGATTATGATATTTTCTCTGCAGCTTTGAAATATATTTACAAGTCTTACTTACTAATCTTGTATCAGTTGATCAGATAATCTTTAAATGTGAATAACTTAAATCCTTTCTCGACTGACGGATTCAAAGCTGTTAATGTTATTTGTATCCAATAACTGGTAAACATAGTTATTGTCAATAGACAATAGATTTAAGTCATGATCAGTCAATTTAAGTCATGGATTCTAAACGATTCACATCTTTCACAGCTGCATCATTTCGTTCGCAAATATTTTAATTCATATTAACATCACTTTAATTGATCAAGCCTTATTAACATCACTCACAAAGCCTGGACTTGTATTATGCGTGTGGGGACAGGAAGCGTTCTGTGGGGGCGTTGTGGTGGGGCCTCGGTGGGTGTTGACGGCCGCGCACTGCGTCAGGAAGCGCCTCTACGCGAGGCTCGCCGAACACGACCTCTCCGTCAGGGAGGGCACGGAGATCGAGTTCAGGGTGAGACTTTCTCAACAACCGTCGTGAGACTAGATACTATTTTTTAAAAAATTGGTTTGATTCAAAATGCCTGAACTCTCGAAAAGTGAATCGAGTTTCATATAAGCTCTATAGCACATTGACTTAATTTATAATGCGCATACCTCAACGAAGATATTACCTAGTTTCGTCGGGCCTAATATGTAGTATTATAATGCGATTCATTTCCTTTTCAGGTGTCGGAAACCATTTCTCACCCCCTGTACGACTCCACGACCGTTGATAACGATATCGCGTTGTTGCGGCTCCCACAACCCGTTGACTACACCCCGTACCTTTCCCCGGTGTGCCTCCCAAACCAGGGGGAGCCGCTCCCAGTGGGGCAAATTTGTACCATCATCGGGTGGGGAAAAGAAAGACACACCCACCTCTTCGGCACAGACGTCCTGCATCAGGCCGAGGTTCGGACTGCAGCATTGCAGGAATACTTATTAAGCCGCTTCATATTTCTCCATAGACGTTTTATATTTTTCGATATCATTAACTAGAAACCAACACAAGGTATGGACCTGATGTTCTTTAAATCTAAGCAGAACTTGTAGCCAATCCGTTTATTGGCACAGAATTCATCCCAATCACAGTCAAGATATTATTGATGTGAGCCATTGTTTCTGATTTAGTGATGTTATTCTCCACGCGTCTCTCTCTAAATATTTTCACTCGACGTTGGTCAACAGTAAATCAATAGTAGCTGCGTCCCTCCTAAGTCTTACTGTGAAAATAAACGGTAATTGGTTGCGTAATACTCAGCGACATAATGATTTCTTAGGAAATCATTTCTACTTGATTAATTAATCACTTGTTTGTAGACATTGCACCAGCAGCTTATTTACCCAACTCTTACGCACGTCAGGTTCCGATCATCCCGAACGCGTCGTGCAGGGCGGTATACCGCGACTACTACATCACCCCCAACATGTTCTGCGCGGGCTACCGCGGCGGCAGGGTCGACTCCTGCGCTGGTGACTCGGGGGGACCGCTGCTGTGCCGTCAGGGGCACGCATGGTATGACATATTAAAGGATAATTTATTTTAATTGGTTCTTTGTTATATGGAAATAAATTCAAAAATTCTGTGTATTATGACTCGTGCATGAGAATTAAAGATGTTGCTTATTTCACATATCGATCATTTTATCCAAATTTAAATGCGAGTCGAGTTATGTTTTATCCACTTCCGACTCTAACGTAACTTTGCGTACGCCGAATTCTTAGGAGTTTTTCTTTCCGGGGAACGTTCTTTGAAAGCTCACGAGTTTCTGATATAATTTAATTTCAGCGCTTAAAAATGTATTTAAATAATCATTGTCGCAAAGGCACGTGGTGGGCATCACATCTTTTGGCGAAGGCTGTGGCAGACTCGGCAAGTACGGCATCTACGCGCGCGTGTCCAACTACCGCACGTGGATACGTGACGTCATGAACGCACACGCGCAGAGCGCAACGAGTGAACAAGAGGCACGCAACACGGCGGATGCGTGGCGACCTCGTCGCAGGGCCGGCGAGCGGAGAGGCATTTAAGCTTCGGCTACGAATGCAGTAACCGTTAGTGATATTCGCGCATGAAGGCCTGTCACAGTCATAACATGAAATTCTGGCATTGAAAACAATGAATTGTCCACGCATGCTTATCAAGATATGTCGCAGATATTACATTATTGTCTTATTTTATTCACAATGAATCGAATGTAGTAAGAAGTTGCAAGAAAGTATTGGGGAAATCTTGAATATAAGAAAGTAACTGCGTCAAGGGAGCTGCCTCGTGATTGTTTTCAAAGCATGTAGGATTCATCTGGAGATTGCAAGATTTCGCGTCGAAGGAAGAGCTGGAATAGCAACTTAAGCAGAGTTGATACTATTTATGCTAAACGTGTATGTAGAATCTCGTTTATACACTCAAGTTAATGCATTTCCATGTGCGAGCTCTCTCTAGTTCCGTAGTTGCCAAGTCAGCTGGCTCTCCACTTAGCTCCTGGCTATACCACAATGCAAAGCCATGTGCTGCGTGATATCTCGTCTTGTAGATGATTACCACCGAAACTATCAATTTACCCAAAGTCAAATGACTTCGACTTCTGTCGCTTTTCGACATCAAGATTTAGGCAGAATTATTCTTCCGATACGTTCAATGTTGCCTGAAAAAATCCCATATTATCTTTATAACTAAATTGTTCTAGTCTTGATAATTGTCAAACTTGTCACTGAATATAAACGTCGGGTAACGCGACAACCTTAATTTCGCACGAGGTGCACGCTTAACACTGCAAGGTTGCTGCCTCGAGTACGACTATTTTATACTGTGTTGTACATTTGTAATATAACCACGAAAACGTATACAATAATGTGACAATAATCGTTAACTTTCAAGGTTCTTCAAATTGCATTAAAGATTTTTGAAGTACCTCTGCACAATTCCTGTCCTTTCGCTCTGGTGATGAATGCTTTGATATACTAATGTTCTAGTTATTTAGTCTGAGGTAAATAGAAACTATTTACCAGTTTTAATTTAGTATCAAATATAACTATCTGGACAAAGGCATAGTTGCTATTAGTCGAAAGAGTCAATCACGAACTACAAAATTATTGGGCGAAAGTTCATAATTTATTGGTAAGGTTCATTTTGCTTATCATCACCATGAAAAACTGAATAAAATTTCAAAGTTTATTACAAAAATTCGCATTTATATCCCACAATAGCTAAATAAAAATATTAGCATACAACAGAGTTATGCACGATTAGCGGAGCACGAAGGTATGTACAAAAGTAACGGAAGCCTCGAAAATTTCCATAAAACCTATTGTATTGCGTATGCGGAATTCAATGATCATTGTATTGAACAACGTTGTTCAATAAATTAAGTGAGACGTAATGTGAGTCATGGAAGAGCTGAGCACCATTCTATTGGTGAATATGATGCACGTATCTAAATTCAAAGGATCCGCTGCAAGCTACACAAAATTTGAGTGTCACATCATAATTCGTTCGTAATTCAAGTATCAAATAAAAAATAATGATGAACTAAAGCTTTTCGGTGAGTTCTGGCACAGCCTTGAACAAGTCTGCGACGAGGCCAAAGTCTGCAACCTGGAAACCAAATCCTTATTAGAAAATGCAAGTTTTACACAGATGAAATTAAAAAATTATGTACTGAAACTGATGCTGAGCAGTGATGAAATTAGGACAAATGCAAGATGGCAGAGAAATATAGTATGCGTCCAATTCCAAGTTTAGACAATGGATTCAAAATTTTCGATCTGTGCAAGTCACAATTGAAAAAAGCACGGAAATTGTGTGCAGAGAACAGAGAATTTTGATAAAGCAAGAAGGCTTTTTTTTCAGTATTTTGCAAACAAATTTTCGATGCTGATCAAGCGACAGCATACTTTCCCAACCCAAAATAAGCTCGAGGTGATGTGTCATTTCACTGATGATAAGAATGCTTTTTGCTGACCTGGAAGATGGGAGCCTCAGGGTCCTTGTTGATAGCGACGATGGTCTTGCTGTCCTTCATGCCCGCAAGGTGCTGGATGGCCCCGCTGATGCCCACCGCGATGTACAGCTCAGGCGCCACGATCTTGCCAGTCTGCCCCACCTGCAAACATTTTTCCAGGATTAATTACATACGTTCGAATTACATACGGAATATTCAATTTCATCATGAATGTGAAGAGCAATACATATAAACTATTTACTGGAAAATAATTTTGGACAATAGGTAACGTCAATCCCTGAAGTTAATTAAAACTCTTACAACTCGTTCAGGAATTCATGGACCCCTGCATTCATCGAATGTTCGCATTACTAATCGGAGAAATAAGGTTAAATATAAATGACTAAAACGAATTTGAGAAAATCATAATATTAATTTTTATTGTAGTACAATGTTTCGAGGAACCAGCCTTTATAAAACACTTCTAACACATAATTGGGAATTTCAAGAGGTAACACTTGTTTTCAAGCCTAAAAATAAAAAAAAAAATATAAGCTTCAAATTAAGTGACAGAAATCAAAAATTTTTTTCTCAAAACAGCTTCGTAAGTAAGGTATTATTAACAAAAAACTTGATTCTGTATCCAAGCGACTGGCCAATATCTTACTGGTACTGTTTGAAGAGAATTAGAAGGGGTTTTCAAATAATAAGTTCAGCTGGGAAAATTAACACGGCACCTGCATATCATTAGGCACGTAGCCAGCGTCCACGGCGGCGCGGGAGGCGCCCACTGCAGCGTTGAGCTTGTCAGCCAGCTTGTACAGCAGCTCGAAGTTCTCGCCGCTCTTGAGCCCACGACCTCCACTCACAACGTTCTGACATTTTGCAAATTATAACCAAGGTTTCGTATTCAATAAATGAGTTCATGCACGAACAATTTTGGAGCCAAAAAAACACTTGACAAAATTTCAACAACATGTCCGTTTTATTGAGAATTGTTCATGAAGCCCAAGAGCAACATATAATGAATCAAGTACGTACCTTAGCAGAGCTAAGCTCGGGTCTTTCGCTTTTTGAGAGCTGCTGACCCAAGAATTTCGACTGTGTGGTGTCAAGCTGTGGGAGGGGGAGACTCTCAGTGGCAGCTGAGCCGCCTTCCGCGCTGCTGGCTTCGAAGCTTGTGCCCCGCACACTGATCACCTGAAATAACAGTTATTGATTACAAATTATACCAGGATTGAAATTATAGAGAAGATAAATAAGACAACTTGCCTCACAAAATGGTTAATATGACAGGTAGCAAAGTGCCACGGAGTATGGGTGCTTAAATGACGCAATTTACTTAGAGATCCACTTCACTTATCACCAAACATTAAATTATTAGGAAAATCACAACAGTTTGTCACAAAACAGCTCGTCACAAAACAGTTTGTCACAAAACAGTTTGTCACAAAACAGCTCGTCACAAAACAGCTCGTCACAAAACAGAAAAACAGCTTGTCACAAAACAGCTCGTCACAAAACAGCCTGTCACAAAACAGCTCGTCACACAGCTCGTCACAAAACAGCTTGTCACAAAACAGCCTGTCACAAAACAGCTTGTCACAAAGGATTTTGAACATAAAAATCAAGATATTAATTTTAAATTAACTGAATATCTTCAACATGATACAAAAAAAATGGAAGCCAGAAAGTCATACCGTCACACGGGGTAATAAGGGACGGTTTTTTAGTATTTTTTAATTACTTCTTACCATGAAACATTTTATAAACAAGTTTGGGCTCATTTTAAAGCTCTTTGCAAGAGCTATCGTATGGCATCTCCAAAAAATTACATATGCTATTTGTAAGGTGCAAGAGGTAAGGTAATTATATAACAATAATTCAACCATGGATTTAATTATTGAACATTTGTTTTGCCTTTCATTAAATGAAAATAGTTTGCCTTTAACATTCCATAAATTCAAATAATTGTCAGCAACTTCAATAAATTCAAATAATTGCCAGCAGCATCAATAATTTCAAAAAACTATCAGTAGCACCAATTGAAGATAATGATAATACTTATAAAGCATTAAATATATTAAGTGGGTGGTTCCTACTTTGACAGGGTCGGAGCTCTTGACAGTTTGAAGAGCATTGCCAGCATAGATTGTCCGCACGAACGTGTCAGCGCTCTGGACTGCAATGATGTCATTCACTGGAGCCACATCCAGCTTAGCAGCAACTCTAGGCATCAGTGATTTTCCCAGTGCAGTCGCCCCAGCTGAAATATAGAACAAAGTTTGAAAAATTATTTCAATGCACAAAGAAAGTTAAATAGTTCAATGCTTCGTCAACATTAAAGCAGGTGAATACTTCGGTGAATGTTTCTGAATACTCAGAGTTTGAGATATGTTGTAATATGAGCCTAATTTCTATATGAATATAGTTCATAACAAGATTACCATCATGCATAAGATGATCTGGCTCCAAACACTTCATGATTCTCAATGTAGCCACCTCGTTATAGTGTTATAACCCCTGCCATTCTATAAAGTAATTTTTTGCCACATACAATTTGTACATTGTCAACTTTTATTTTGTTCTGTAAATAGTTAATTTGTAACTCATTATACCGGCACTGTGTTATTTAAGTAGTATTTAATGTCCATTACAGGTATTTCAGGCAACTTGCCATTTCTTAGAAAAAAAACTTGAATTGCAAACTCTTCCTTTTTCTACAACGTGAAACAAATGGCAGATAAAATTTTAATTTTAATAGCCAAGTAGATTTTTCAACACCAGAGGTTAGACATACTGATTGATTCATTGAAGAAGCTTGAATATGTAGGTTATAATCAACCACTTACCAATGACATGAGTAAAATTAAACTGCTTCTGACTGGCAAGAATAATAGGGGTAAGTCGCTCTGGAAGAAAACCTTCCAGATCAGCACTGTCAGCCAGCAGCACCTTGCTTACTCCAACTGCTTTAGCTACCTCAGCTGCCACCTGTTTGAATAACTTCTTTCACTCATACATCAACTGAAATTAAATAGTACAACAATTTTGAAAAGTGAATTTATAATACCTTTACTATGTATTAAAATAAAATAACATCAATCAAACTATACAGAAAAACCTAGTTTCAGGATTAAATGAATGCTAACTAATTCAAATGAAAGAAGGTCACTAGAAATACAGCAAATTTACTTATTATGTTATATTATGCAGGTTTCATTAAATATTTTAAAAAAATATTATAATGTAATGTATGTATTTTGAAATATTATTAGGTATTGAGATACATACATAAATATTCAGCTGACTAGAGGGTCAGCTTTATATGAATCTGATCAAGTTAAAATTAATAACAGTAATTTATATCAACTTTATTGTACAAAAATATATCATATAAATTCAATTATCACTGATACCTATAGAATTAAATACTTGAACAATCTAATTAGCAAGGAATGAAGATTGCAAGCTCCTAGCAGCCACCTGAGTCCTTACCTCAGCACATGAAGAGCCTGCCACTAGGCAGGTTACATCACCACCAATTTGAGAAGCAGCAGTGATGGCATTCAACGTGATGGGGTTAAGTTTTTTGTTGTCATGTTCAGCAAAGACAAGTGTTGACTGCAGACGAACATTTATGCTCTGAAATGATTAATTCTGTTACTATTCTCACATATAATAAGAAAATGTGGACTAACATCCATATCAGCTGCAAATGAACCAGTCAAACAATAGGGCTTTTATTCATAATTCGTTCAATATTCTTTCACCTCAGCACCTGATCAGGAGAATGTCCTTTGGTTACAATCAGTTAAATTCCATGCCAAAAAATCACAATCAATCACAACAGTTATATAGCCACTTGCAACAAATATATTTTTCCCAATTTTGTATGGACTATGGAGTGTAAAATCAAAAAAGATTGGGCAACATACAACTGGAAGCAAGACAAAGACTTGTGCTAGCCTTGGAGCCAAATTAATGTTGGAATTCTAGGAAGAGAGGTTCCATCAGTTTTCAAAGACTGACAGAGGCGTTAAGCACTCCCTCAGCATACTGACCACTGTTCAGAGGGATATGGTTTAGGTTAATAAACTGGCTTAATGACAAATCTTAAATTAGTAAAAGTTCTAATGTTTTCTTATATCTTATAAGGTAATAGAAGAGAAGTGTTGGCACTGGTGAAATAGGCCCATGGCCTTTTGCCAATTCTAGTACCTATTTTCATGCCTTGATTGCACAAGTGATCTGGCTTTTTAAACCTAATCTTTCCATAAATGACAATTGAGATAGCTGCTGGACTTAATAGACTGTTCCACATGTTAGCGACTCAAAGCAAGATGAAATGTTGTCATGACTTGTGACTGCTAAATCCTAAGTTGATGAAACTTTATAAACTTTCCCCTAATATGGGGGAACAGACTTTATATTTTGAGTTTACAGTTTTTTGGCCTTTCAAAAATCATGTTTAAAGAGAATAACATTCTACTATCAGTCCTATCAACAAAATTTTATTATAAACTCTTGTTACAAATTAGTTAGGAAATAAGAAATAATTCACCTGGTAGCTACAGCCTCTACAGGTATAGTGGTAAAGCAGAGAATTTTTTAGACTCTCCCTCAAGTTCATTTTTTAGTCCTATAAGTAGACCAGTAAAGTATCCTGGATACCAGCATCATCATACATAAGAAATTTGTTTAAATCTTGGGTAAATGAGGAAATTAAAAATGAACTGATTCTAAAAAATCACTGGTTTGCCACCATGGCCCTACAGGCATGACAGGAAATTTCCAGTCATGGAGTTGGCATTGGAAAAGCTCTAGTCACAGCTCTAGAGATAGATATAGGGCTATTACATGTCAAATATAGTGTTCCTATATATATATAATGGCTTTTATATACGTTTTGAAAGCCAAATTTCTTATATACTTACCTAATCTAAATTGGCAACATGAGGCAATCAGGAATATCATAATCAGACAGAGATTTCTTAAAAATTGTGTGTAAACCAGATTTACATATCATAAATGAAACATCATTAATAGAATTCTACGCGCTACCCCAGCTCATGTCAGCTGGCAGCCAGAATCTGACAGGCTGACGGTTGACCGCTGACGATGAGAATGACATTATGACAGTCATTCTGAATTTCTGACACCAGCAGAGCTCAATTGCATTGGGTAGCAAGTTCTCTCTTCTATTGTCTTAAATCTTAATATATTACAGTTTTAATTAAAGGTAACTTACATTGCACAGACGAAGTGAAGTACGAGTAAGAGAAATCATAGTGATGAAACAGGGCTCTCGAAAAATTTTCTGCTTAAATCGAAAGATAACAACTCTCTCGGCTTTTCTTCCAACAACCCCCGGTCAGCTGTACTTTCTTGTCAAATTTAGCGGAGCCGTCAGCCGTCCATACTTGGGCAATTTAAGCGGTTTTGCTGTCGGCGTAAACATAAAACGATTTGATGCTAAAGGCTAAAGCTTCTTAATTGAAAGTATCTTCAATGCCGTTCACGACCATACGTAGGCTAGTACTCTGGAACATGTCAGGATAAAAACTCAATTTAGCCAAAAAATTGTCAAATATATAGATCTCCATAAATTGGAGGCGAGCCGAGTCTCGCAACCTAAAATTTTTTATTGGTGTCACAAACTTCTGTAGTCAATTTTAAATAGGTAATAGATGTTTCTACGGTTATGGTTAATTTTTTAATGCAAAATACTAACGTCAGTGCCTAGAATATCTTCCAAACTAATGAACGCACTTCGATGAAACTTTACAAACATGTTCAAATAGACATAATGGCGACGTTTAAGTCGTGATCATTTTTTTCGATTTTGCCTTCGTTTGTCAGTTAACAACTTAACATAACATAAAATAACAGTGATGTGTCACTGATGTCAGCGCTGAAGTGTAGGCCTGATGTGGCCTGTCGCCGATTCTTTTCCTTTCCGTGCCTTGTTCACAGAATATCTAAAATCGTGTCATTTGACCGGAGAGTTAGACTGGCATAAGCTCCGAAATTCGCAGTGAGCCTAGCTTGCGAGTATCTTTCAATAATCATTCTTAAAGGCCTAACAATTATGTTAAGGTCAGGAACATTTTTTCTATTTCGGCTTCATTTGTGAGTTATACGGCCATACAGAAAAACGACCGGTATTACGGTATCCGATTTACAGTTTGCATTGATCCTAAAGTAACTCCATAATTAATTAACGCAACTCGATAAAACTTTGCGCATGCGTTCAGCAGGGCCTGTTGGTGATGTTTAAGTCAGGATCATTTTTTTTCGATTTCTCCGTCGTTTTCAAGTTACACGGCAAATCTGTGCAGGATAGGAGACGTATTAGGCTCACTGCTATATTGCGTATTTAGTACCGTAAGACGTGCAAACGAAAGCGACATCGAAAAAATTGTAACGACCTAAACATCACCGATATGTCTGATTGAACACGTATGCAAAGTTTATTCGAGCTGCGTTCATTAGTTTGGGAGATATTTTAGGCTAGCTGGAACTTCTAAACCCGGCAGCGAGTCCGGCCGTAGAAGATTCCGAGCAGCAAATCGAACAATCTCAAGTATTAATCTATGCATCTCTGTAGCATTACATTTATTCATCGAAAGCAAGACTTTTTTTGTCATTTTTATGAGCGCTGAAGTTATGAGCAGTATCTGCTTTGTAACTAAAGTCATATGCTGCAATTTTCAAATTTAATCATCTTCTTTCCATCATGAAGGAGATAGAGAACATTAGAAATATATGAGTATTTAGGAATAAAGATAAATAAAGCCAAGTATTATTCCCAATTTCCATCTAATTATTGTTTATCAGAATAAACTTTTCCCAGATAATTAAGGATAAATGAATATGACCAGGATCTTCGTGTTTAATCGTCCGTTATATGAGTTCTCATATGCTATCTTATGCACACTATAGATAAAATCTTACGGTGCGAGCTAAAAAGTAACTCTACAACAGTAAAAATCACTTGTGTTAGATGCGGACGATTTTTGGCGGGTTATTATGCTTTGCCAGATAGCTAACATAATTCACATGACACTTCAGTAACAATAATTCACTAATGAAAGACGAACTATCCGAACAACGCGAATACTATGTGGTAACAATAAATAAATAGTAAAATGTTGCAACAAAATGTGCCGTTAGATTGACCCTTAGAGATTCGAGGGAAACAGTGAATTGTTTGAACCGTTCGTATTGGCAGAGGAAGTAAAAATATCGTAGCGAGAAGTCGGGAAGTTCGGTTCATCGTCGAGTGTGACATTATAAGGCAGAAGCGGGGAACTGAGATCTGATGGATATTGCGCACTTCCAAACGCTTCGTTGCCGATATGCTCCGATACATTTTTTATGTACATTTTGACTTCGGAAACAGTGTGCTCGCGTAAAGAGGATATATTAGTCATATTATCATTGGTATCAGGGCTCGAGACTCTGTGAACACTTTTGCCGTCAGCTAGAGTATACGCGACGTGCGCCACGAATCCTACTGTGAGCTCCTTTGTGACGTTCATTTCGGCAAGCATCAAGCTTGTTATTTCGGAATCATTCACACGAGTGACATGTTTTTGCTCTAATATTGAAATGTCGTCAATCGTCCCATCCTCTTCAAGTGTTTTGTCAATGAGTAGCGAACCAGAGTCACGTTTCTGCGCGTTGACTACATCAACGTTCAAATCAGCTCTGGTGATGTTGATGAAATCCCCGTCATATAAATGACTGCAGTTCAAGTTAGACATATTCATTTCAAATACGTTCGAAGGATCCGAAGCAACATCAAATGTGCTAATATCAAGAGTGGAATTTATAGATGCAATAGATGTTTCATATCCATCGTCATGTGCATCGCCTGAGTTCAAATGACTGCTCATGTCTTCTTCAGTAAAATTAACATCTGCACTTGACTGGAACTGCACCACAGCCGACAAGTCATCAGAAGCATTTGTGTCTACCGAGTGGTTATCGTAGTAAGGACTCACTTGGTCGTCATGCAAACTTGTGACGCTTAACACAAGGAAATGTTTGGTCGATGATTTAATAGGGAGAGAGGAAATTGGTTCATCCACATCAGCAATGCTGCAATTTACGCTCGAGGATCCAGTATCATTACAACGTGTCACGTTATATTGGAGAAAAAGAAGCTCTAGAGACAAGTTTGATGATTTAAATTCTTCGGATATCTTAGGCTTTGAAGTCAGTTCTATATCACTGGTTACTGCTTCCGAGCAGTTGTGATGGAAGTCATGTACCAAATCGTCAAATTTTATTCCGTTGTCAAGGTTGTGCGATGGCTCTCCGTCGAGTTCCACGGCAAATATTTGTTCATTTGTTGAATTGCTTAAATTATTCGCCGCTGGGTTGGTGATTTGAAGAAAATTGGCGTCGAGATCCCAATTTAAATCACGAGATACTTCAATTTCGGAAGAATTGCTGACAGTTTTTATAGTTGCAACGATCGGCATATATGTTTTCACTGTTTCCCCGAGACTCCTAGCGTGAAAATCGTGATGCGACTGAAGTTCTCTTATGTTGCTCTGATTATGAGATGATTCAAAAACTTGAGCGGGATCGAAATTGAATGTTTCATTCAAAAAAGTATTTTCATCAAAAAAGTATTTCAGAGAGCCTGGACCCTGATCATCGAACGGTGCGAGTTGTTGTGTGGAATTCGTTTCTTGTTCGCTGGCCTCCCATCTGGACTCCAAAACCATATCTTCCTGTATATCATCATGTTCTGTAGAATTTTTGACACGTCCAGTTGAACTTTCGACATGTCCAGTAGCATTTTCGACACATGAGGAAGTTAAGGAACATGTTTCATGTTCTCTCGAAGCGTTCCCTACAATCATTTCGTCCACTGATAAATTTGATAGCAGATGCAAATTTGTGTTATTTTGAAATGGTTCCACAAATAAATAACCTTCCTCATGATTTTTGTCCAGAGTCGAATAATTTGGAGGCATTGATGAAGACGAAGTATTAGACCAAACAACAGAATCTGGACCCCGTAGGAAAGCATCAAGAGTTCGTGTTACTAACATGTCCGACGACACTGAAATTTCAACCTCCACAGGATTTTCTATGACAGGTGGTGACTCATCCTTGACGTCATCAGTAGCAAGGAGTAAGGACATAGTAGATTCGAGAACATTCCTAGTCATCAGAGCAGTAGCTGTAGTTGAATCTGAAGCTTCAGCCGGGGAAGTGTTTGCTGTGATAGCAGTGATGCCGAATAGTTCAGGTTCAATGGAATCAGACAGCTGTAAAATATGTTCAGAATTAGTTTAAACTTATGAAATGAATAATATTAAATTAAAATCAAATACGAATTAATTTTATATTAATGACTCATGAACCCAAGATATATTTCAAACTATGAAATTTCTGGAATCCAAATATCAGTTGAGCCAAAAGAAAAGGACTTAAACGTTTCTATATTTTATAATTGAACTTTGGTCTGCGATTCTCAGTACAATTTTCATTAGAACTTAACGCAGACCAGAACAGAACTATTGTATATATAGTAGCTACCTGAGTGGTGCCTGCTGGTGGAAGCGTGGCTCCAGGGCGAGCCTCGGCACACCGAAGCAGCGATCCAACGACCTGTGCCACATGTATGGTTAATGAGAGCCTTGCATGGTTAATGAGAGCCTTGTATGGTTTATGAGAGCCTTGTGTGGTTAATGAGAGCATGTATGGTTAATGAGAGCCTCGTATGGTTTCTGAGAGCCTTGTACGGTTAATGAGAACCTTGTGTGGTTAATGATGGTTAATGAGAGCCTCGTATGGTTAATGAGATCCTTGTATGATTAATGATAGCCTCGTATGGTTAATGAGAGCGTTGCATGGTTCATGAGAGCCTTGCATGGTTAATGAGAGCCTCGTATGGTTAATGAGAGCCTTGCATGGTTAATGAGAGCCTTGTGTGGTTAATGAGAGCATTGTATGGTTAATGAGAGCCTTGCATGATCAATGATAGCCTCTTATGGTTAATCAGAGCCTTACATGGTTAATGAGAGCCTCGTATGGATAATGAGAGCCTTGTATGGTTCATGAGAGCCTTGCATGGTTAATGAGAGCCTCGTATGGTTAATGAAAGCCTTACATGGTTAATGAGAGCCTTGTGTGGTTAATGAGAGCATTGTATGGTTAATGAGAGCCTTGAATGGTTAATGAGAGTCTTGCATGGCTAATGAGAGCCTTGTATGTTTAATTAGAGCATTGTATGCTTAATGAGAGCCTTGTATGGTTAATGAGAGCTGTGTATGGTTAATGAGTGCTGTGTATGGTGAGAATCTTGAATGGTTTATGAGAGCCTTACATGGTTAATGAGAGTCTTGTATGGTTAATGAGAGCCTTGTATGGTTAATGAGCGCTGTGTATGGTGAGAGTCTTCTATGGTTAGTGAGAGCCTTGTATGGTTAGTGAGAGCCTTGTATGGTTAATGAGAGCCTTGCATAGCTAATGAGAGCCTTGTATGGTTAAGGAGAGCTTTGTATGGTTAATGAGAGCCTTGTATTGTAAATGAGAGCCTTGCATGGCTAATGAGAGCCTCGTATGGCTACTGAGAGCCTTGTATGGTTAATGAGAGCCTTGTATGGTTAATGAGAGCCTCGTATGGCTAATGAGAGCATCGTATGACTAATGAGAGCCTGGTATGGCTAATGAGAACCTTGTATGGTTAATGAGAGCCTTGTATGGTTAATGAGAACCTTATATGGCTAATGAGAGCCTTGTATGGTAATGAGAGCCTTGTATGGTTAATGAGAGCCTTGTGTGGTTAATGAGAGCCTTGTATTGTTAATGAGAGCCTTGTATGGTTAATGAGTACCTTGTATGGTTAATGAGAGCCTTGTATGGGTAATGAGAGCCTTATATGGTTAATGAGAGTCCAACATGGTTAATGAGAGCCTCGTATGGTTAATGAGCCTCGTATGGTTAATGAGAGCCTTACATGGTTAATGAGAGCCTCGTATGGTTAATGAGAGCCCTATATGGTTAATCGGAGCCATTATGGTTAATGAGAGTCTCGTATGGTTAATGAGAGCCTTATATGGTTAATCAGAGCCATTATGGTTAATGAGATCCTTGTATGGTTGAGAGGCTTGCTACAGAACATTGTTAAGAAATTTAGCCACAAAACCTGTGAACGAACTACGGCTTACTCACATTAGCTTTTGATTTCTAAACAAGTAAAGAAAAAATCTATATAAGGCCTATATATATAGATATACATATATATAGTTCAGTGTCATGCATATATACACACAAAGTATATTTTAAGCAGGTTTCATTGAAGACCAGAGAATTCTCTGGTCTTCAAGAAACCTGCTTGAAAGAAGAAATTCTGCCAACCTATACTAACAAAGTATATTTATATATATTTATACTTTTCATTTATATACGAGCAAAAATAATATACGAGCATACAACATCGCACGCTGCCGCGGTGTAGACATTCATATATGTTCGTAAACAGGTACACACTTCATCAAACACGATATTATAAGTTACAATTTCACACCTTTCCCTCAAGCGAGCAACAGAATGTTATGCTGAGACAATAAAATGATCTCGAATAGAAAAGTCAAATCCCATGCGATGAGGATCTACTGAGGAGAGGATCCTATACGGCGTCACGAGAGTACCGCAGCCGGTCGATTGGACCAGGAATATCCTGCACGCGATTGCAGGAAGGAGCGTCGCCGCATCTCAGGACTTCATTGTGTTCTCAGTGACGTCATAGTCCACAAGGACACGCAAAGCAAAAAGTTTGTGGACGCTGAGATCGATTGGCATACACGGGACGCTGAAGTCGTGTTGGTTGATAAACCACATAAGACATTTAGGGCAGCGCTTCAAAAAGTCGTTTTATGTCAAATGTGCGACCAGAAATAGTATTTGTTTGAATATAAATATCCCTTGTAATTGATGGACACAAACGCAGGGGAAAAAAATCAATACGCATTCACCAATCAATTCAAAAACCAATCATTCTATATAACATGAAAAGGAAAATTAAACAACAAAACCTTAGCTTTGCGACAGCTGTCACCATGGTTATAGTATGGATCTAAAATGAATATTCTACATTTATACGTATAGAATATAGAGAATATTTAAAAATATGGGTACCTCCTGAGAGGCGCTTTGTCCGCATGATCGGTGCAGCGAACAATAGCTCGCGCCTAATGGACTATCGCTAGTCAAGCTGACTATTAGTGCAGTGGACAACAGCTCGCTCCTAATGGACTATCGCTAGTCCAGCTGACTATTAGTGCAGTGGACAACAGCTCGCTCCTAATGGACTATCGCTAGTCAAGCTGACTATTGGTGCAGTGGACAACAGCTCGCGCCTAATGGACTATCGCTAGTCCAGCTCTGACTATTGGTGCAGTGGACAACAGCTCGCGCCTAATGGACTATAAGATAGTCAAGCTCTGACTGTATTGACCAGCTCAACCTGCCCTCCTCGTCCCTCTTAAACGCTCTGCCAGAACTGAGGGCCGAGTGATCCATCGCTTGATTGCGTGGACCATTAGTATTTTAACGCAAAAAATTCTGAATACTAAGATTATTAATATGACTGAATTTCCGAGGCTAGATCCTTAGTCTATCAACTCCTGATTATTAGGTATGACGTGTTTTCATATTCCTTTAGCAAGTAAAACATGCAACAAACTTTTGGAAAAGAAAAATAATTTAGGAAAATTTACGCGATAAAAACGGATTCCTAATTCATGAGCGGTATTAATTAAAGTAAGGAAATAATACGTTACGTTATGTTGATTGAAAAAATTTAAGCTTGCGCTCACTGGACTCAGCGATGGTCCATTCCTAGGTGATAACTTCATTCCGGCTCTACCACGACCGTGTACTGCCACACGACCGTGTACTGCTACACGACTGTGTACTGCCACACGACTGTGTACTGCCACACGACTGTGTACTGCCACACGACTGTGTACTGTATCGTAATATTCAATGTCACCCCGACACAACAGCAGCACAATGAAGAATGCCACAACAGCTGCTGCCTGCTAACGCAAAGGCATCACAATGATAACGGAAATCACAACAAAAGCATAGCAATATCAAATGCCACTAAAGCTGCACCATATAACGCCCTGACACCATAACGCTCTGACACCATAACGCTCTGACACCATAACGCTCTGACACCATAACGCTCTGACACCATAACGCTCTGACACCATAACGCCCTGACACCATAACGCTCCGACACCATAACGCTCTGACACCATAACGCCCTGACACCATAACGCTCCGACACCATAACGCTCTGCACCATAACGCTGACACCATAACGCTCTGCACCATAACCCTCTGACACCATAACGCCCTGACACCATAACGCTCTGCACCATAACGCTCTGCACCATAACGCTCTGACACTATAACGCTCTGACACCATAACGCCCTGACACCATAACGCTCTGACACCATAACGCCCTGACACCATAACGCCCTGACACCATAACGCCCTGACACCATAACGCTCTGACACCATAACGCCCTGACACCATAACGCCCTGACACCATAACGCCCTGACACCATAACGCCCCGACACCACAACTTGCTCAGCTCACCGTGATGCAGAGGACGAGTCTCGGGTCCATCGCACCCGGCCGTGTCACGGGGAGCGTTCAGATCAATGAACTTCTGAGCACCCAAGAGACGAACTTCTGAGCCACCAAGAGAAGAACTTCTGAGCCACCAAGAGAAGAACTTCTGAGCCACCAAGAGAAGAACTTCTGAGCCACCAAAAGAAGAACTTCTGAGCCAGCAAGAGACGAGGCGTCGCGCTGACCGCCGTGCGTCAGGACGTGACGCTGACAGACGGGGAACTGAGGATGACCTCGAGGGATGTTCCTTATATACCCCTGAGCTTGTCCTCACTTATAGCCTGGTCACGCGAGAGCTCAAATGAGGTCAGATGCGCCGCTGAAGACCGTACAACTTGCCACTCGTTGTGAAGATGATGGATGTTTTGTCCCAGCATGAGAACAACTTCACGTATAAATAATGAACATCGCTAGCAACGCATGGCTTCTATCAACTTCTGCTCGGCCTATTATCACAACACGCATCCAACCTCACTAAATAAGTTGATCAAAAAATAAAATATTTTTATTCAAAAACAGCTTTTTTAGGTTTTCTCTTCATTTTAATTATAGAAAAAACAACTGCCCAGATGCTCTTAAAATCGAATGAAATCATACAATTTCAGTCGTATCATACAATGATGCACAATAATATCCACTTGTGTGAAGGACTGCCACACATTCCTAACATTCTCTTGTATATAATTAGCGTCTTCGTTCAATTAGCGTCTTCGTTTCTAATTAGCTTCTTCGTTTCTCTTGTATATAATTAGCGTCTTCGTTTCTAATTAGCTTCTTCGTTTCTCTTGTATATAACAGCTCTGACCTGCCTGACGTCTGCCAGCTCTGACCTGCCTGACGTCTGCCAGCTCTGACCTGCCTGACGTCTGCCAGCTCTGACCTGCCTGACGACTGCCAGCTCTGACCTGCCTGACGTCTGTCAGCTCTGACCTGCCTGACGTCTGCCAGTTCTGACCTGCCTGACGTCTGTCAGCTCTGACCTGCCGGACGTCTGCCAGCTCTGACCTGCCTGACGTCTGCCAGGTCTGACCTGTCTGACGTCTATCAGCTCTGACCTGCCTGACGTCTGCTAGCTCTGACCTGCCTGACGTCTGCCAGGTCTGACCTGCCTGACGTCTGAGCTCTGACCTGCCTGACGTCTGACAGCTCTGACCTGCCTGACGTCTGCCAGTTCTGACCTGCCTGACGTCTGCCAGCTCTGACCTGCCTGACGTCAGTCAGCTCTGACCTGCCTGACGTCTGCCAGCGTTGTCTCCAGTGACAGCTTGAGGGTAGCCAGGCATTCCTGGCACTGTAGTTTAGTGGCTTCCAGCACCAGCTCCAGACTCCATCTGTGCAGCACAGAAACATCTTTACTTCTCTCCGACACTTAAATTCTACCAGTTTTATACAATGAGGTCCTACTAACATAATATAGGCATAAAATTATATTCAAGTTTCAGAATCTTACATAAAACCATTCACACATTCACATTTTTTCGCCATAAATAAGAATGAGTTTTGATCATTCTTCTCATCAATGTAATAAAATATTTAAAAAATCAATATTAGTCACAATAGCAATGGCTTTTCACAATGAATCAAAACACGGCTGTTCAAACTGATTACTTAGCACCCTAGATTCAGCACCACTAATGGTAACGAATGGCTGCGTGTAGTAGCACTAGTGACTGCATGTAGTGGCACCACAGACTGCATGTACACTGACTGTGTGTAATGGCGCTAGACTGTGTGTACACGACTGCGTGTAGTGGCACCACAGACAGCGTGTACACTGACTGCGTGTAATGGCACCAGACTGCATGTAGACTGACTGCGTGTACTGGCACCAGAGACTGCGTGTAGTAACCACCAGACTGCGTGTAGACTGACTGCGTGTAGTGGCGCTGCTGCATGATGGTCTCGAGGGCCTTGAGGCGGCGGTGGAGCTTGTCGAGGGCGGCGGCCATGACGTTGCACTGCAGGGGGCTGAGCGCCACCTCGTGTCGTAGGCGCCCCCTCACCGCCCCCAGCAGCGCCGGCACACACTCGTCCACCAGCGCACACAGGCTAGTCTGCGCCTCTGCGCTGCCCGGACTGCCAGCACGTTTAATTTAGTGATGAATCATAATGATATTATTATTATTATTATTAATGATGTTTCCACACACGCGTCCACCAGCGCACACAGACTTGCCTGCGCCTCTGCGCTGCCCGGACTGCCATCATGGTTGATTTAGTGATAAATTATAATGATGATCTTATTATTATTATTATTAATTAATGATGTTATCACACACGTGTCCACCAGCGCACACAGACTTGTCTGCGCTTCTGCGCTGCCGTCAAGGTTGATTTAGTGATAAATTATAATGATTATGTTATTATTATTAATAATAATTAATGATTTTATTAATAATTTTATCAATTGAAGATGTTATAATTATTAATAATAATCGATGTTAACGGCATCCATGTGAACGAGAGGAATTTAATATTGAAGAGAAAATGAATACCTTCAATGTTTTTATAAAGCAAGAAGGAGTCATTTGAACTCAAATTGAAGAATAACTCATGAACATTGGACAGAAAATCAGGCAGTGATAGATAAATTTTTGAAACGCTCCAGAGAAATATCAGGCAAACAAGTTCATCATTTCTCGCTGTTGCTGAGGCATCACTGGCCGAATATACAATGGCTCTAATTCATGAACTTTTTTTTCATCAGGACAATTGCCCATTATACTATGGCGGCCATGAAGCCTGACCTGGAGGGTGCGTGGGACAGGAACATCTCCTGGTAGGAGGAGATCAGCAGCCACAGGTTGGCCATGTACGTCTCGTGGCAGCGGTCCACGAACAGCAGCAGGTCCTGCGCATTCAACAAGATATATATACATTTTTGCCAACAATTAGGAGTTTACCAACAATTTCAATTAGATATTCCCATAAACAAAGCCATTCTCCACATTTTTATGCAGAGAATTGTTTTTTGTTAAAATACGCATTCTCATAATATCAACATCACGACAGTGGGCGTTTGTCTCCAGATATTGAAGATAAGCGATATTAAAGATTAAGTTAGGCAGTTGACTGTAAAATGGTTGTTACGCCTGCTTATCAAATCATACTTTAAACGTAGGAAATGACCATAACTTTAATTTGATAACGCGTTACTTGTCTCCAATTGATGTGAGATGTATTAGACATTAATGAAGTGCATCATGAGAAACACCTTATGGGTAAGATTTGTAGTACCCAGAGCAATCTTAATCTAATGTCATATCACTAACACAATTATTAGCGTATGGCATCTGTTGAATTTAATTCAGACTGTAGTCTTTAACTGGTATAATTTTAAAGTTGTACCATAAATTAACAAAGTTTTGTTGGGAATTTGACCGAAGTTAGACATGGCAACTCACAACATCAAAGTTATGCTGGGAACTTTAGACGATGTCAGACATGGCAACTCACAACATCAAAGTTTTGTTGGGAACTTTAGACGATGTTAGACCTGTCTCTTATACACATCTAGATGTGTATAAGAGGTCGGAGAGCAGGTCGTGGTGGTCAGAACAGGTCGGAGAGCTGGTCGTGGTCAGGACAGGTCGGAGAGCAGGTCGTGGTGGTCAGGACAGGTCGAAGAGCAGGTCGGGGTGGTCAGGACAGGTCGAAGAGCAGGTCGGGGTGGTCAGGACAGGTCGGAGAGCTGGTCGTGGTGGTCAGGACAGGTCGGAGAGCTGGTCGTGGTGGTCAGGACAGGTCAGAGAGCAGGTCGTGGTGGTCAGGACAGGTCGGAGAGAAGGTCGTGGTGGTCAGGACAGGTCGGAGAGAAGGTCGAGGTGGTCAGGACAGGTCGGAGAGAAGGTCGAGGTGGTCAGGACAGGTCGGAGAGAAGGTAGAGGTGGTCAGGACAGGTCGGAGAGCAGGTTGTGATGGTCAGGACAGGTCGGAGAGCAGGTCGAGGCGGCCTGCGTCGAGCAGGCTCGGCTTAACGCAGCGCAGGGCGGCGGCAGTGAGCACGGCGTCCAGCAGAGCCTGCAGTAGCCTGCGGTACAACACCGGGTTAGTGGTGACACGGAGCGGTGCAGGTGGCAAAACTGCCACACAACTTGTACACAACTGCCACACAACTTGTACACAACTGCCACACAACCCGGTTAGTAGTGGCAGGAGAGAAACAAGTATGGTGGCACTAGAAACAGAACAACTAGAAGAACTGCGGTGGCTTCTGCACTGCGTGCAGAAGAAACAACTGCGGTGGCACTACCGTATGTGACATGAGGGGCAAGTTCTTAAGTAGTGCTTACACGAGGTTACCACGCGCACTGCAGTTCAGAGGATCCTCGATGTAACCAAAGAACAATAATAATCACATTTAGTGACAATTACCTAAACACTTGATGAATTAGTTTGGTTCAGGCAGGCTCAACTCACGCGTCGTCGGAGACATGCAGCCAGAAGTGCGTGTGGAGGTAATGCACGTCGAGCTGCACCTGCTGCAGGCCCTCAGTGCTCAGCGTGCACACGCGCAGGCTTTCCTCCAGACTCTGCGGACACAGGCGCGTGTATGACGTGAGTGTGTACAGCTCAATATTAGCTGCGCACAGCCAAATCTCATGTGCAGCAGCGTGCGCACAGCCAAATCTCGAGTGCAGCGGCAAGCGCACAGCCAAATCTCGTGTGCAGCGGCAAGCGCACAGCCAAATCTCGAGTGCAGCCTCTGTGCAATAATTTAATCACGCGCACACTCAGCACGCTCTCCACATATTCGGTAGCTGACACTGTAGTCTCAGCGCTGTTCAAGACGCCTACAAAGTCTCACTTTAAGCGCAATTTTAAGCACGGCGGTGACGATGGCGAGCTTCTCAGGCAGTACGGGAGCGTACACGTCGACGCGGTCACTCCAGAGCTTGGACAGCGTCAGGGGCGGGTTGGTGCCGCCCCATCGCGCCAGGGGCGTCGGTGACGGCCGCACCACCAGCGAGGACATGCTGCACAATAGGCGATATGAAATAACAGGTAGTAGCATAAGTGGCAAGACAATGATAATGAACAATTTAGCGAAGGAAAATACTGTGGAGTTTTAGTGATGCAGCATTTAAATTAATGTATTTTTGAAGAAGATTCAAGAAAAAATTGTGAAAACTTATTAGTCATTGTCATCATTAAGCATCGATCGCATGGCAAGCTGATTACAGTTGACCTCAGTATCCAAGAGTAATGTGGGTAATGCTACTCTTTATCGTCCAAGAGTTGTACAGGTAATGCCACTCTTCATCCAAGAGTGGTACGGGTAATGCCACTCTTTTTTGACTTTAAAGCCACTCTTCATTAAAGTCAAGTCACCTCTGGAATGTTCTCCTGGACGAGTCTGACGACCGTTCCTTCCTCGTGCCTTCTTCGTACAGCGCCCCCACCTGAGATGAACAATCATTTATACTCTAATTGATTATAATTACAATATTTGATGGCATACAGCAAAAGAAAGATGTTTCATTTTACTTTGATTTAAGTATTTTTCATTGAGATGAATACCATAAAATATTTCATCGCGCATCATTTCTCTGACAACATTTAAATGACATACGCTATGACGTTGCATCACACACGAAGTTAATAAGCCGGACAATAAAAATATTTTACATTTCATTGTAAATTATCTTCTAAGAATATACTACGTGAGTACAATAACATTTAAGACAAGGCTTCATAAGTTTCAATAAAAATGGAGATTCGTACAAAAAAGCAAGGCCCAATGGCCCGATCAACGTTCACAATAGCTGTTAACTGATAGGAATTGGTGCTCAGATTTCAACTAGATTTGAACTTTTGAACAAGCCTGGATTAGTTTAACACTCTCCAACAAGTCACTTCAAAAGTTGCAATGTGGAAACAAGCAACGGTGTAAATAAAAAATGTCATTCCAAGCATACATAACAAAACAAAGATGGTAGACTATAGACTATAGCCCTCAGTTTCACACAGGATGGATACCAACTTTAGATGACGTTCATGAACACGAAAACCCTAAAGGAAGACTCATACGGATTGAATTTCGGGGCATTTGCTCTCATCATAAATGCAATGACCACTCATTTTGAAAATAAGTAGCCAAGAATATAATATTCGGGGAAATAATTCACGAATTATGACAAAATACAAACGAGGGGAGGGTGTAACACACTTGTTTGGCGCAGGTCTCGATGCCCTCCCTGAAGGAGGCGATGACGGAGCGCACGGCCGTGGGTTCCCCGCACTGCAGCCAGTCCTTGAGCTCCACGCTGCGCACCAGCAGCTGAAAACAACCACAAACTCACAGGCTTAACAACCAGCAGGCTTTTGTCTGCCTGAGTATTAAAAAAAATATAACTCAGTACTCACTGTAGTGAGTGACAGAGAGCGCATTTTCTCGTCGACGAAAACTTGAGGTCACGGACGGACGGACGGACGGAAAGACAGTCAGACGGACGGACGGACGGACATGGCGAGCACAATAGTGCATTTTTTCCATAAATGAGAAAATGCGCTAAAAAGAAGGTCACCTCCCTAATTTTTACGGTCTTTAGTCCTGTAAAATCGGAATAAATTCTAGTATGAGGTACGAGATTTATAAAATAGAGAAAAACTTATGCAATGAACACATTCATTTTTTTCATTCGGATATAGTAAAATGTTAATCAAACCTGGTAACTTAGTAAGTGAGCCTTGTGACGGTATTCAATTCCCTTAATTTTGCCAATAAATTATTGTTATCGGTGAACTTGACTAATATCCGCGAATAAGGTGAAGTAAAATGCGGGACAAGCGGCTTTTCAACTACACATTACAGACCAACTCTTGATGCAACACCAGCATGGTGGTGGGGGCGCGACGCACCTGCGTGAAGTTCAACTACACATTACCGACCAACTCTTTATGCAACACCAGCATGGTGGGGAGGGCGCCACGCACCTGCGTGAAGTGGGCGCCCTGCCTGGCGACGTAGGCGTTGAGGAGGGCGTGGGCAGCTAGCTTGAGGCGCGACGTGATGCGCTCGGACGGCGTCAGCAGCGCCGCGCTGCCCTCCACACTCGCCACGAGCTTGCCGACACCCAGCGCCTCGTCGCACTCACGCACCTACAACATTACAACAATGTAGAGTCTCGCGAGGTACACTGTTAGAAAAATTACCGTTAACGGTATTACCGGCGTTTCAGTGGCCGCGGTCGGCACGTGAAAAGAAACACCGTGTCGCCGTTTTTATTCTAATTCAACACTAGAAATCCGTAAAACATCTGATAAAAACGGCGAAACAGTTTATTTTCACGAGTAGACCGGCCACTAGAAAGCCAGTGGGACCGTTTTTTCACCGTTTCTTCTTACAGCGTACTTAGTAAACTTTTAATGAATCTCAGGATTTAATTTTATTCATGGCTGGCAGCATTGAAGTCTTCATGTATACAGAGTTTTGAACAGGAAAGCAGTAAAGATATACCCCAGTTACTCGGCCGTTCAACACTTATAAGTTACACAGGCAGAGATGAGTCCTCTCGCGAGGTCTCACGTCGCAGCAATTGGAGCCGACATACACAACTTGAAAAATAAGTACGTATACCCTCCTAACATGATCTTACGATTGATTGCTAGGTTTAGGAAAAGGGTTAAAAAGATTGTTGAGCCTGCATACAAGTTCACGTTGCATTCGTTATCAATTTCAAAGGAAAACAAATTCGAGGATGCAACACCTCGCGCTAATGTATTGTTTCTTATTTGTTCCTGCACGGAACACATCCACGTCACATCATCTGGCTAGACTATTACGACCATAAACGTTCATGACCAACACATAAACGTGTACTGAAGGCACATGTAAACAATGACGACCATGAACTGACAACACATAAACATGTACTGAAGGCACACGTAAACAATGACGACCATGATCTGACAACACATAAACATGTACTCAAGGCACATGTAAACAATGACGACCATGAACTGACAACACATAAACATGTACTCAAGGCACATGTTAACCATGACGACCATGAACTGACCAACACATAAACATGTACTCAAGGCACATGTTAACAATGACGACCATGAACTGACCAGCACATAAACGTGTACTCAAAGCACATGTTAACAATGACGACCATGCACTGACCAGGTAGTGAGCTGTAGAAGTTTGCAGGTCCCACGCGGCCCTAGCGAGCACCAGCAGGAGGCTGCCACTGGCACCACCCGCGGCACCGCCGGCAGCGATGGGGTTGCCGATAACAATTGTTCTGCAACCCTCGCCCCCATCAGCGTCCTTCATGCCTTCCGATCTGCCATTGCTTTCCTGCAAACTTGCTCGTGATGCGACTCTTCTATTTTTTTCTGCATCGAGAGAATGGGCTTGTGGGTCAGTAGAGGAGCTAAGTGGGTCAGCAGAGGGGCTAAGTGGGTCAGGAGAGCTATGCTGTTGAGGCCCTCGAGTGGCAAAAGAAGCCAGCGTGTCGGCGAGGTGGAAGAAGAAGGCGACGACGACACCTTCGCGCACCTGTCGCAGCACAAACTCCGTGCGGAACAAGTCGTCTGAGCTGTACGTGACTCCGCTCTTCAGGAAAATCTGGGGACGAGCACAACGCATACAATCAATTAGTAGTGAACATACTATGTATTTGTGGTCTGTACCTCCAGTTTCACCGACGACAGATTTGAACGCTAGTAAATATAAATTGATGGTAGTTGGTTAATCAAAGAAAAAAATCTAAAAACTTTACAGGTTTCTAGTTAAAAATTAATTTAACCTGTCTAATTTCAATAAAAAAAAGAGAAATTAATATTCATCTCATAGGAAAATATAACTACGAGAGCAGTTGAGAAGATAGAACAACAATTTAAATTTTTAGGCAAGGAACAGGAAGGTTCAGTAAGCAACGCTATTTACAGGAACACAAACCGTGGAGCAGCAGTGCAAATATTAAACGCTACAGACGCACCGACACACAGGCGAGGATATTAAGCGCTACTGACGCACCGACACACAGGCGAGGATATTAAGCGCTACAGACGCACCGACACACAGGCGAGGATATTAAGCGCTACAGACGCACCGACACACAGGCGAGGATATTAAGCGCTACAGACGCACCGACACACAGGCGAGGATATTAAGCGCTACTGACGCACCGACACACAGGCGAGGATATTAAGCGCTACATACGCACCGACACACAGGCGAGGTGCTGCTTGATGTCAGCCGCCGTCCTGGCCACGAGGTGGGACAGCAGCCGCGACAGCTCCTCTGCTGCGCCCACGCTGCTGCTGCTGCTGGCGATGCCCTGCACAACGGCGCACGCTAGATCATTGTGTGATCGATGTATGGTACCGGTATTTTTATATACTAGACATATACTATATGTCTAGTATATCATATAATATAATGATATATTAGATATACTAGGCAAATATAAAGACAAATAGCATATAATATAATGATATACTAGACAAATATATGATCAATATATTTGCCCCTGCAACACGGCGCATGCTGAGCCGCTTTTCACCTTATACTAAGGTATCAATCGGCGCTCTGGGTGTACTGGGACTGCTACGTTCGACAAATTTAACAAGGTTTACGATACGCATGCTATACGGTATATCACCTCATTATTCAGATACAGCAATATCTGGACACACAGCACTATGACTGAAGATTTCGATTTAAAAGGTTATGATTAGAGTTAGCAAACAGAAAACTCTAAAATTGTTGAAGCATTTTATTGCGACACAATATGGCACAGGAGGAAGTGAGGTCTAGTCTAGTCTGTCAGCTCTGTCCAGCACGACGTTTGCCAGCTCTGACCTGCCTGACGTCTGCCAGCTCTGACCTGCCTGACGTCTGTCAGCTCTGACCTGCCTGACGTCTGCCAGCTCTGACCTGCCTGACGTCTGTCAGCTCTGACCTGCCTGACGTCTGCCAGCTCTGACCTGCCTGACGTCTGTCAGCTCTGACCTGCCTGACGTCTGCCAG